GAGGGCGAGAGGAGGGGAGAGGGGGGGGGGAGGGAGGCGGGCACGAGAGGGGAGAGTAGGAGGGGGAGTTGCCGGGCCAGCGGGGCCGAATGGCGGAGGACCTGCGCCCGGAAAAATGCCCGGCGCAGTCATGGCGAGCGCTTGTGCGGGTGTTCCCCCGGCACCGCGTTTCGCACGCACGGGGTGGAATGCGCATTGTTCTCCCCCCGGCCGAAGCTCATCCTGTCCGCTCTCCCGGCCCGGCCCCGCCCCCCGGGGAGGGGGCAGGGACACGCTACGTTCTTAACACGCACACACGGCCGCCTCTCGGTCTCGCGCGCCGCCGTGCGCGCTAGAGTCCAGCGGGCCCGCGCGCCAGTCATTATTCTTTTGGTTAGTGTCTCTCGCCCGCCGGTGTTGGCCAGGTCTCCGGCGCGCCGGACGCACGCGCCTGCCTGCCGCCCCTCTCTCTCTCTCTCTCTCTCTCTCTCTCTTGCGGCTTCCGGGCAGGCTCTGTTACACTTGACACAGGAGGGCGGCCCCACACTCTCACCAGCCCCCCCCCCCCCCCTTCTCTGGTGCGAGGGGGGCTGGGCTGGGGCCCTGCGCGCGCGCGCGCACGGCGGGATCTGTCATCGGGCGGGCGGCGGCAGTCCGGCGGTTGTCAGAACGCCGGGGCTCCATCAGAACCGTGTCTCGAAGGGGAAAAATAAAGGCATGTATGCGTCGACCGGGAATCGAACCCGGGTCTACCGCGTGGCAGGCGGCAATTCTACCACTAAACCATCGACGCTTCCATGGGGAACAGACCCTCCCGAGGGCTGAAGTAGGTGCTCTTCGGCGGGCTGTGTCCGGCGTTCCAGCGCGCAGCGGGCTGTTTTCCGGGCTCGGCGCCAGTTCCGTGTCCCAGGCCGCGCCGGAGTGAGGCGGAAGTGCCCGGGGCGAGGTTGGCTGCTTCTCCTTCCCAGGAGGAATGGCGGGTCAAGCCCTGCCGGGAGCGCGAGGGCGGACACACGCATTGCGCCCCGAGCCCGTCCCCGCCCTGTGTGCGTGTATGTGTGTGTGCGTGTGTGCGTGTCTCTAGTGTCCAGCCCTCTGTATAGGCAGGGGGCGGGGGGCGCGGGAATGAACAACGGCCGAGGGTGGTCCCGGGCACGGGACGTTCCCCGGCTCGGCCTGCCCCCTGGGTGTAGGGATGTGCCCAGTGCCAGAGGGGCGTGGGGGGGAGGGCGGGGGGCGTCCGGCTTGCGAGTCCGTTGGCCCAGCCGCGCCTCGGAGTGGAGCACATTCCTTTAGAGTCGGCACTGTTCTGCAATGGCGCCCGGGCGCCGGCCGGCAGCCCCCTCCTCCCTCAGGATCCCCTTTCGCCCCCCCCCCCCCCCATCCACTCCTCTGTTCCTCCCTCCTTTTCGCCCGTCCTCTCCCTGTCCCCCCTCCCGCCCCCGCCCCCCTGTGTCTCGCCCTCCCTCGCCCCAGCCGCCCTCCCCCCTCCCCCGAGAGAACACATGAATACCAAAGCATCCATCGAAGACAAGCGGCGGAGAATCGCCTCCCTGAAGGAGGCCCGGGCACGGGGCGGGGTCACCGCCTCCACCTCGACCGCTGCCTCCACGTCAACCATCACCGCCGGCGGGCCGGTACGTCACCTCCCCCATGAGGCCCGCGCCGTCACCTGTGCTGGCCATCTTCCCTCTGTTTGCTCGCCGGCCCACACACCGGGCCGACCGCGCCCGGCTCTTTGCTGCACCTCACCCCGGGTTTCTTCTCCCCGCCCCCCTCTCTCTCCCTTCCCCTCGTCAGATCAACATCGACGAGCTGGTGTCCTCGCTGCTGGACAACAACGCCCCGGAGCCCCCTGCCACCGGCACCTCCTCGGGCTCCTCGGTTTCCGCGTCGCCAAGCCTGGATCCCACGGCCGGGATCGCCGACAAGGGATCCCCGGCGGTTGATGTCGCGGACGCCGGCGAGAGCGGCACCACCCCGGCCAGCGCGCCGGCCCGCGCCGCGGGCACTTTCGTCACGGTCGAGGCCTTCTCTGTGGACATCCCATCTAAGGTGCGCTGGGTGCCTTCTCCGGTCGAGCGGGCCTCGCGTCCACGGCTTACCATGCTGGATGTGCCTTGCTCACCCCCGCCCCCCCCCCCTGTCCATCATCACAGGAGGTCATCCAGTACAGCAAACAGATCCAGACTTCTCCCTCGGGCTCGCCGCACTCCTCGCGCCCCGGCACCCCGGAGCCCGATGATGACGCCAATGCCCCGGCCGCGCCGGTGGATCTCTTCGACTTTGGCGAGGCCCCCGAGGGAGCCTCCGGCCAGGACGCCACGGCGGCGGCGGCGGCCGCTGCTGCGTGCCCGCGCCCCTCGGACCTGAGCAAATCCCTGCGCAAGGCCATCATGGAGCGGATCGTCGGTGCGTCACCCCCGTGAGCCTGGCGGGCGGTACTCCGCCATGCACGCCTCTTGCCTGTTGTCTCCCCCCCTTCCTTGCTGATGACCTCCCCCCCCCCCCCTCCCCGCGCTTGTCCATGCGTGGCAATTCGAGCACAGACGTTTCCAGCGACGTGGCCCCCCCCGAAGACCCGGTGGCCGGCACTCTGACCGACGGGAAGAACATCGTTCGTTCGCCTGGCTTTGTGGACTTCTTCGAGAAGGCCTCGCGGCGGATCGAGCGGGCCTTGAATGCGGGCGCCGCGTCCGGCTACGGGTCGGAGGCCGACGCCAGCACCTCCATGATGGCCAGCTCGGACTTCTCGCTGAATGACGACCCCCTGGTGAACTTTGCCGACACCCGGGCCAAGCGGTACGCCCCTCGCTCTGTGCCCTTTGTGCATACTTCGGGGCCCTCCTCTCGGTGTCTTCCCCTCGCCTGGATCGGTCTAACGCACGCACACGCACACGCACACGCACACGCACACGACACACACGCACACGCACACGCACACGCACACGCACACGCACACGCACACGCACACGCACACGACACACACGCACACGACACACGACACACGACACACGACACACGCACACGACACACGCACACGTACACGCATACGCACACGACACACGACACACACGCACACGCACATATATGCCTCCCCTGCTCGCCAACGCGCCGCAGTGACGACACCTCCAGCAGCCTGATGAAGGTCTTGCTGCACATCAGCTCCGGTACCGCAACACTCGACGGGTCGGCAAACCCGGCCGGGCGCTGGATCGCCGGGCGCACGGCCACCGATGTCGACTGGTCGCCGGTGGTGCGCCCTTCCCTGGCGACTTCATGCCCTTCCTGCGGCCCGTGACTGACCGCCCATGCTCCGGGCATGTGTGTTCCCCAGCACAAGAACCTTTTCTTGGTGTCGTATGGCGCGTCGAGCCTGGACGTGTCGGCGGCCGACGCACAGCGCCAGGCCAAGGCCTCCCCCTCGCAGACGTATGACCGAGAGGCCTTCTCGGCGCCGGGGCTGGTCATCGTTTGGAGCCTGGCCCTGCGCTCGCGGCCGGAGTACATCTTCTGGTCGCATGTGCGTTTCCCCCCCCTCCTTTCGCCCCCTTCTTGCTTCCCTTTTTTTTTGGCACAAGCCTTCTCCTCCCCGCACGTCTCTCCCTCCCTCCCCTCCCTCTCTCCGACTCTTTCTCGCTCGCTTGGTGACGCCGCTGACGCTCCTACCCTGACTGATGGCGGCTACGCAGTCTCCCGTCACGGCGGCTCGGTTTTCGCCCGGGCGCGACTCCAAGATCATCGGCGGCACGGCCTCCGGGCAGCTGCTGGTGTGGGACATGAAGGCGGCGGCGGCGGTGGCAACGGCCTCCGGCGTCGGGTCGACTCCCGTGGGCGGGGACGCTGGCGGCGATGCCAGCCTCCTGGTGGCGGCTCGCGCGCCGGTGATCAAGAGCCAGCTGGCCAAGCACCACCACTTCCCCATCTGCAGCATCGAGACCATGCTGACGCCGTTCCTGAGTACGGATCTGGCGGCGGCGGCGGCGGCGGCGGCGACCACGCCCGGCCGGGCCAAGGGGTCCAGCGGGTCTGGCGTGCCGGGTGCCGCGGAGGCCGACGTTTTCGAGGAGGTGGTCGTGGTGTCCACCTCGACCGATGGCATGATCTGCCGGTGGTCGCTCGGGGAGATGGGCACGCCTGTGGTGCGTCTTCGAGGCGGATGCCTGGTCGCATTTGTCTCCGCGTGTCAATGTCTGCCCCTCCCCCCCCCCCCCTCTGTACGCACGCTGACTGTGGTCCCTGCACTTGACGCCCCCCGCCCCCCGCCCCCGCCTGGGTTTTCTTTTCTCCTCGCCGTACATGCAGGACCACTTCAACCTGGAGGCCGACAGCAGCTCCTCCTCGCACCATCTGCTGAGCACATCGGTCAGCAATCCCACCGGGCCGCAGCTGATGAATGTCTATACGGCGGCTTCCTCGACCGCGGTGGCGGGCATGACCCTGGGCGGGATTTCGGCCCTGGGGACCGTGCCGGCTGGCGGGGCGGCGGCCATGGTGGCCGGGGGCCCGGGGACCGAGCAGCTGGCCACCGGGCCCGGTGCCGGCATGGCCGGCGGCCCGGGAACCGGGGCACATACGGACCAATTTGTGGTCGGCACCGGGGCCGGCGGGGTGTACCACCTGCGGCTGCCGGCGGTCGGCACGCCGATGGTGGCCTCGCGGCAGGTGCACATCTCGCCATTGGCCACCGATGTGTCGCTCTTCCCCTCCGGGGCGTCGTCTTTCCCCTCGACCGGGTCGCTGTTGCACATGGGGCCGGTGACGTCGGTGGATTTGGCCTATGTGACGGAGCCCTCGCCCATGGGCGGCATGGTGCCGGTGGTTTGGTGCTCGAGCGTCGGCTATGACTGGGGGGTGAAGGTGTCGCGGCTGCTGGCGTCGAAGATCGCCTCGTTCGGCGACGCGGCCCTCTCTTCCGAGGCGGAGGATGGCGCCACGGCGGCCAAGGTCGATGGGTTCACCGTGCGTGTCTGTGTGGTCCACCTGCCTGTCTTGGCGTGTATTTTTATACTGATCGCGTGCTCGTCTCCCCCCC